CTTACGAGCCGCGATGCAAAAGTGGATCGCTTCGGGGAAGCGCACCACCGTTAAAATGTTGCAGTTTACGAGTCATTGTCAGCCTTATCGCACGCCGGGATCTTTCCGCGCGTTTGCATCCGCACGTCGTAGAAAGTGCGGGTCGTTTTTCGCTCGTGGCCGCCGCGATTCGCGCGATGAGGAGTGGGAAGGACCGTGGAAAAAAAGCGCATCCAACAACAGATGTGAGATGCTCCACGGGGGCACCTTGAGCTACTCCGTAGTTCACGTCATCCGGCAGAGCCGGACGGATTCTCGTTACAATGTTACGAATCACTGATCGGGTTAATCAAGGTCGAATTTACGCATACCACCTCCGTGCCGTTTAGAAAGCGCCAATAAATTTGTATCCAATATCGTACCGGAAGCAACAATTAAATCGTTTCACGGTGAGCAAACTCCGCGCGACGATTCGTTTGTCAGAAATTACTGCCATAATCAGACGGCTTTGCGATAATAACGTCGTTTTTAAGTTAAATTAAGACGATTTATTCATCATGTTTATTTTTTCTTGTACTTATTTGCAAATTGCATTCTAGTTATATGCATTCCAATTTTTAAAAAATCTATTATAATTTAACAAGCTTTGTTAAATTTAATTTTATTAAATTTAGTAATATGCGTGCAATAAAATTAAGTAATTATTATTATTTATCACTAATGATTGGACTTTAATAAAAGGAAAGCAAGATTTATGATAATTTTATAAAATTCAGTGTTTAGTACATTAATATATTAATTAACGCATTCCATACACGCACTTTCAACAAATGTAGAAGTCTTTTGGTATGATCTAGCGTGAGAAAAATTAGTACAATTATAAACAGAAATTTTTTAATATTTATCCTTTTAGTATTTATGCGAATTTTGCATCAATTTTTGCATCATTTAGCGGTTCTCTTATCTCCATAATAACAATAATATTTTCAAAATAAACGTCGCATCGATATGAAACAAACCCGAATAAATGATGTGTTACGTCAGCGTCGTGGCTGCGCGTAGACGCGAGTCTTGTAATTAATCGAAGTCGCTCGAGATAACACTTTCAGTCACGAAACTGACGTGCTGTTTGTTTTCCGCTTCGATGGTGTCGGCACGATCTAGAAAGCGCAGTAAACTCGCGCCCGAGGAGTCGGGAAGCGATTAATCCGTTTTTAAGACTCGTCGGTCGGGATTTTCAATTGCGTTCCACAGAAAAACCGAAAAAACCGAGCGCGCGCTCGTAATAGTGGTATCGCGTGTCGCGAAATTATTCCAACGACGAAAGCAATCCGCGACTTTAAATATTTCCATTCGATTTCATTCCATAACTAATAATCAAGATAGAAAAAATTTGCGGACAAGATATTGCGCGCAAATTGTCATGGAAGAGTAGCGAGGGTTTAAACTATTCACAGATTTAGATTTAGATCAATGAGATCTAATTTTTTTGATAACTTATGTCTAGAATATTTAAGATATTTTTTATTTTTTAATTTAGATTTAATGTGCAGAAAAAGGAGAGAAAAAGAAGAAAGAGAGAAAATTAATTTGAGTAAAATGAAGTAGTCTTTTTTCGTTTGAAAAAAAAATTTCGTAGGGATAATAAGACTAAAATAGAATAGGAGCGAGGAATTTTAATGAGAGATGCTGTAATGACTTAATGCCAATAATGACTCAAAGTTGTCAGAATATATTCACCATCTAAGTCACAAGCCACTTCTAATTTAGCAATATGATTTAGCGAAGGTTGCAATCTTCCACAGATCCACAAGATCTTGGCGCACACCTGGCAATACATGTGTTTTTTTTTTTCTACGTGAAAGATACTAGACACGTGAGATCCTTATGAGATCTGCTCCTACATGAAATTCTCGTACATAAATAGCGCAAGACAGGCAAGATAGACAGTCATATAGTTTCCCCTTACACCTTGACTCCTATTATGCCTTTGACCTCCACGTTACGCTCCTGCTCTCAGAAATTGATCAGGTTAATCCCAAGGGTCGAGGGTAAATTCCTCCCGGAGGAATCTCTCGCATTCGCGGTCTCGCTCGCGCGAACGCTCGAACGCTAGAAAGTGCCGATGAATTTGCACCTGACTTGGAAGGAGCGGAAGACGATTACATCTCGTTTCTCGTCCAGGGGTACGGTCTTCAGCGACCGTCCGCAGGAAACGAGGGGATATATCGTCCGTGTGGGATTGCCCGCGCCACGTTCGCCAGGCACTCCGCTCGTTTACTCGCCTCTTCTTGCCGATCATCGCCGGCAGGAAGCACGGGGGCTTTTCCACGCCGCACGGAGATTCCGCGTACTCGCCGCGCCTCGCGCCCGAGTTTCGATCGGGGATCCTTTCTTTACCGTCGACGCGTTTCCGCGGTTCAATGGGAACCTCGGGAGAGAGAGATTTCGCTTCCGTTCGAGCCGTTCGCGCCCGAAGTACCGGAGTGCGGAGCGGCCGGAATGATACCCGTTTCGCCGCGAGTTTTTGCTCGGCTTCGCGAACACGCCGCGATATCGGCGGATATATCGTATTTTCCCGACGCGTTAATCACAAACAAAGCATCGCGATCCGACGAGCGGAGCAGAAACGCGCCGACGCGCTGCCGATCCCGCTGTCATTTGCCAGCCGCGAGAAAAAAGAAACCCGCGTAATGAGATGTGTCGGCAGCGATCCGCGTTAATGCGATCTTCGAGAGAGCTACGAGAGAGAGAGAATCAGGAATATATTATATGATAATATATGTTATATTCTCCCGTTACCGCCTTCTACGGTTTAGGCGTTTTTAATACGGAGAACGATAACACGCGGAAGTTAATATCGATAAATTGTCACTTGTCTTCTTATTCAATTCCCAAGCGACAGGATTAAGTAATTCGAAAACTTCACGAGCGCATGATACAGTATATCCCGATTACGATCTCGAACTGTACATAATATCGTGGAGTATTAAGTTAAGTTCGCGATTCAGATCCGCATAGTCGCGTCGCTAGAATAATTAACTCTCCTGCGTTTCCTCGCCGGCACGATTACATATTAATGTAACGTTGGAAAAGCACCGATCTTTTTTTTCTCGCTGCGAATTGGTTTCAGAGATAAAAGTAAAGCAGAGCTGCGTAGTTCTCTTCCGCCTCTCCTTAACAGCGACGTTTCGCGCGATCAATCTTTAGACTTTTTCGCGGAATTTCAACTGGAACATATATTCAATTGTCGCTCTGATAATTCTTTTTTTTTAATCAAAACGGATATAAGTAAAAGAATAAAATTATATAATAATATTAATTATATAAATTTTAATCGTATTCTTATCCGACCTAAGGACGATAATTGCATGCATTCACGTCGACGTTCCGACATTCGATCTGCGTATCAGAGTGCGGTATCTTGAAAGAAGATTGGGAAACGTCGCTCTTAGGCATTCGCGTTTCGTTTCACGACGATAATTCCCGGCATATCTCCGCGACACGTCACCGGCTTCCCCGGCTCCGATTGAAAACTTAATGACCCGACGTGCGCAGAGTGTGACGAACTTTCCGAGCTCTTCCGACGCGATTTCGATTTCCCAACCGCGCCGACCGATCGGCAACAGCGGCAAGAGCGGCACGCGGATCCGCCCATCGATTTCTAAACGCTATTTTATTATCGGCTTCCCCGGCGGATCATTGAGCCCGACGATTCCGCGATTCGCGGATTACGCTCGAAGGCGGCCGAGTTGCCCGAGCGCTGAAATTCACTTTCTAGGTCGTAAAATCGAGCGGTCGCCCATCAGTGGCGTTTTCTGCCGAAGCGAATCGTCCCGAGGCGTTCGCCCGAACTTTTCCTTCCATCAATTTTTTTTCGTCCGTCCCGGCGAACCTCCTCGCGACGACGATTTCGACGTCCGTCCGGTGTCTGCGAATCTTGCGACACGCGATGCTACGAAATCTCTCGAGATTTGAGCCAATGATGATTATGAAAACTCAGGCGTGCACTATTAGACATTGTGATGAACGAAAAATTAATGTTGAGTCGGGAATTTTTTTTTTTTTACAATATAAAAAAGACTTACTAGGTTACGAAATTATTCTGCAATTTTCAAATATATATATATATATATATCTATTAGTGTCTGAGAAAGAACGGATATACGTTTATTCTATGATCAAATTGTTCGTGCGTGATTTCTTTGGATGATACTTCGCGTTGATCTCGAAATCGGACTTCTGTAGCTTTGAGCTGAACGCGCGAAAGGAATGCGTCGTGAAAGGTGGAAAAGTGTAGGGACGATCGAAAGGATTGCAACGGCCTTAATTACAGTGCCGGGGCTTTTTTCCGTGTTATCCTTTCTTCTTTGCAAATTAGTCATGCGTTATATGCATCGTAATTCGCGGCGCGGCTTAACATAATTTAAGAACAATGTCGTTTTTTTTTTTCTTAAGGTTTTCTTACTCACTCGCGAATAATCTTGGCCAGCTGATGTAATTCATATTTTGCGTGAGATTAATGAAAAACTTTGTGTTATAGAGATTCAAATTTATGGTAATGAAACGGTAGTTAAACTTATCTAATCCTCATTAAGTGAATAGAAAAATTGCGACAACTTGCAAGCATAAATAAATGCTATCTCTTATATATGATTCTAGTTCATTCTATCATTGGGCCTATGAATAGAATCAATAAAACATCTTATAATTAATATTGAGCTTGTGTGTGAGAAATATAAAAGAGAGGAGTATAAATATATAGAAACAAAATAAAAATTTGGAGGAGACTTTAATTTGTTGCTAAATAATTTGTAATACGAAATGTAACTTTTACTTCGCTTTGATAATATACAAATTTGGCACGTAATAACTTATATCTGCGTGCTTTTTATTAAACATTTAAATAAAATTGAAAATTTGGGTAATATTGTAAAATTGAATGTCAAATTTTTAACAAAACACGAAAGATATATATTTATATCCTCTCTTTTAAGTAAAAATTTATATTAGATATTTTCTTCGTCTTTTCTATCTCTTCACAAATCTATAGATTTACAATCAACTTCGCCTATCTCTTTATGACTTTCAACTCGCTCAAGCACGCGTTTAAGTCTAAGATTCTAATATTGTACGATATTTAATGTAAGTTGTATATATAATTGTTTATCTAACTTTATTATTAAGGCTCTTTTATATTGATCCGGTTGGATCGTATTCTTCAGGATCAAAGGACAATACATCCTAGAAGCTAGGCACATATTTTTTCAAGGCACTACGTTTTAATTTTCCATTCTTTTCATGTTGAATCTATCAGTTAATCTTTCAGTTGCAAATTGATTTTTAAAATACGTAATTATTAAAATCTAGAATAAAAAACTGATTCGACCGCTTGTTAATTTGAGCAAGAAATTCGTTGCCGATCCTTAGGATTTACCTTCGTGAATATTGACCATTTTCTTTTTCTTCAGATTCCCTTGGTTTTTCTTTACGTTTCAGCCTGCAGGAATTTCTATGAGGAAATGAAATGAATTATTTTGTTTAATGTAGTTTCGAATTAACCTAGATCACTGTATGCAAAGCAGTTCTTCGGGGCGATACCGATATGTGGAGTCTTGTTGAAAATTTCATTTTTCCAAACCTCTTGTTCTTCAAGTCAATTCCGACGTTTCGAAATGCCGGATTTTCTTTTCTTCGTATTTTGACGAAACAAACAACGAGAACCTCTCTTAACAGGATTACCGTGCTGATGATCGCGCTTCGGGACTCAGGTGTTATTGCCGGGGGAGAGGGGCGGCGAGTTCACGTCCCTTTGTTCCTCCTGGACGCTCTCCGGCCTACTGGCCGTGCTGCTCGACCTCGAGCTGAGATTGTCCCGGTCGCTGAAATACGACGAGTCGCCTCGCTTCTCGTCCAGCTGCAACTGCTGCTTGTCATTTCTGAAATCGTCGGTCGCGTGACCCAGCAGACCGGGGAAGTACGGCATGCCTTGTCGGTGCGAGGTGATCTTGCCCATGAAGCTGCGGATTTCCTCGAAGTAGGAATCGTCGGCCCGCGGAAGCTGACTGTGATACCTCGATCTGACCTCGTCCAGTATCGTCGGCCCGTCCGCGTCGTGCTTCTTCAGGTGTCGATCCAGATTCGTTTGTTGGCCGAAGCATCTCTCGCAAAGCGGACATTTGAACGGCTTCTCCTTGTTATGGATGTTCCTGACGTGACGCTGAAGGTTGCTGGAGATACTGAAGCTTCTCTCGCAGTATTTACACTTGTACGGCTGCTCACCGGTGTGCGTTCTTAAGTGTCTTGTCAAATTCGCCGATCTGGGGAAGACCTTGCCGCAGAATTTGCAGGAGTATCTGTCCTTCGGCTTAAGACCGGCTTGCACGCTGATGGAGTAAGGCGGCAGACTCGAGGTTTGCTGCTGCGGTTGCTGCTGTTGTTGCTGCTGCTGCTGCTGCTGCTGCTGCTGTTGCTGTTGCGAGGGATGATTCTGTTGATGCTGGGACTGTTGACCAACGGCCGGACTGGCGACTCTCGCGGTTGGCTGCGACGAAGACGACGAGGAGGTGGACGACGAAGTCGAGGAGAATCTGTTGGGCGGCAAGGGCACCATCGTGGGGAGCGCTCTGACTTGGATCTTTGGCAGGTCGGGCACCGGCGAGCTGTGATGATGCGATCTGTACATCGCTTCCAGGACCAGCGGATGCATCGCGTGATGTTGGGGAAAGAGCACCGTGTGATACGGCAGACCGCCACCCAGGCTGTTCTGATTCAGTACCTCGATCTCATTCTGATTCTCATCTCTGAGCCGCTCCTTTTTATGATCGACGCGGAGATCGAGCGGCTCGCAATCGAGCTCGTCCTGATGATGCGGCTGGGGCGGTCTGGCCGCGGGGCTCATGTGCGGCTGCTGCTGCTGTTGCTGATTCGTCGGGCTCGACAGGCCGCGGCCGTGACCGTGGCTGAGATCGTATGGCAGTTCCTCGACATCCGGCACGCGGACGCTCAGTGGATAAATGCTGGCTTGTTTTGGGCTTATGTGGCCCGGCATCTTTCTCGGACTCGAATCCTTCTCCCGCATGGCTGGAGGATATTTCGGGTCGTGCAGCAACGTCGGGGACAGGGTGATGCTACCGAAGTATCCGCTCATCACACTGCCTCTATCACTCGGCCTTGCTCCTACTCTCCGCTTGGGCTAGAGTCTGAAACATGGAATATATAGCTTATTTAATTAGTTGATAAATTTTGCTTTTTATTTTTAACTATTTTTAACTATTAAATTCTGAGTATTTTCTATGACTGCCAAGGCCGGAGGATTAATCTCACATAAATTATAAATCTCACATAATTATAAAGAATATTAGACATTTC